TCTAAAGGAAGCAGTAGTTCTCAGCACCAACAACAGAAACCAACTATGAAAGAGGTTCTTGAACAAGAAACTCCATGGATACCTAATCAGAGGTATATTCAAACAGTATTGGTACTGGATTCTCAAGATGAGCAATGGATGCCAGATCCTTGGGAAGTAAAATCCAGATATTTCCAAACTCAACAATATGCTGCACCGGATGGTCGCCATAGATATATCTATGAAGCCATTCTTACTGAAACTTCCTCTGTGGAAATCAACCACACGAAGCAATTTCCGAATTCCAAAGATAGTCCTCTTACTTATAGTAAAGCTATCTTTAAGAGGCTTATACGGCCTAGTGACTGGGGATTAAATCCCAATTTGCCAAGGAAAATATCCTATGGTCACAGTTACAATTATTGGGATTATATCTCAGCATGGACATATTCGTTCTTTTATCAAAATCCGAAGCATAGGCATTCTTGGTTCTTCAAGATATGTCCTCAATCAGTTAAGACTGATTTCCCAAACTGGGTTATACCCTGGTGGGCCATATTTGGCCCTGATCTGGATATGTTGCCTGAATCAATCAGCAAATTATATTTGCCATGGCAACAATTTCATCCTCAATTACGAGGACAGGATAATATTCCTGTAGGGAAATCCACCCTATTATTCTTTACTGAATTTGGAATCCCTTGGATTTGGAAATGGGATTTCCAATGTGGTTATACCACTGACAAGTTACCAGTCCTTCAGAGGATTTCATTACCGATGGTGGTCAGGCATGACTCAAGAACCTATCCAGACCCTCCTCCATCAAATCAGAAAGAAAACAATGGAATATATGGATAAGATTCCAAAGTTATCTATTCCAGAACCTGAAATCTTTAACCCATTTGAACTTGTTAAAGATATGATCAGAAAACAACAACCATTAATTACCGAAGCAGATTTAATGGTTAAATGCATGGATTTTATGAAAAATAAATTTGTTAAATCCTTTGAATCCTCTACCCCTACAGTAAGAGATGATGCATCCATGGTATCAGTCTCTAGCCAGAACAGTCAAGATGGAAATCAGTTTTCTTGTCTTGCAGGTTATGCTCAGGATCCCAATGAAGATCTTAATTCCGAAGATGAGATTCCAATAGCAGATTATTGGGATTCGCACACAGAACATTTGAAGGACAAGATGAATCCATCCAAAAAGTAAAGATTCCTCTTATCCTGCCGACAGAAGAAGCCAAAGAACTTTTCCCCAAAGTCTTTGATTCAACAGTATTTCCTTTATCAGATGTCTACTTTCCATCAGATAAGGAGACAGCATCTAGTGGTGGGCCGACCGACTGCATTATTCCAGCACACGACCCCATGCACTATGCGGACTTCAAATTATTAATTTCAAGTCCATTTTATGTATAAATAGAAGGCAATGTTTCCCTTCAATGTATCTTTCAATTTTCCTTTGATTTGGTACTAAAATAAAATAATATTTAAAGGTTTGTAGCCTAGCACTATTTTTTCTACCTTCTAAAGAAAATGATGAGAGTTTCAATTTCTATAGAAATAAATGGGAGTGTGACTTCATCGCCAATGAAAAATATATATATATACACACACACATACATATAAAATAAGTTCAATATAGAAATAAGGAACGCTGGGAAGAGAAAACATTCAAAGAAAATGATCTTTATTATGTTACAATAGAAAAATATTGAATAAGTAGATGATCTTTATTATGTTACAATAGAAAATATTGAATACTCCCAACTATTTACTATGTAAGATGGACAAGTACTTTGAATACTTTTCTCCTCTCATAACATGGAAATGCATAAAAGTAGTGCTTACTTATTTGAGCATATTCATCATCTTTAATTAATTTACTGCGCTGTTAGCGAGTTTGAACTTTTTTGCACCATGTTTTAAATAATAGGGACAAAGTGAGTGCGCTGGATTCTCTTAAAAAACAAAGAAAAAATGATTGTTAACCCTATCAATTTAACGAAAATGTTTCGTTTTACATTACGGTTGAAATGCTTAGCTGTCAATCATAACTCTTTAAAAATATCTCTATAGTAAATGCGAGGTGTCAATTATAACTCTTTAAGAAATATCTCTATAGTAAATACGTGGTTATTGAAGTATAATAAGGTGATTCCATATTAGTGCTAAAATTTTGAAAGCCACAGCAAACCACTCTAATCATAAACACTGAAATGGTAATCTTCAAAATGTATTATATCTGCAATTATTTTAGTCATTTATAGGTAAGTTTTGTCAAAGAAACTCATTATTGTGGGTACAGGGGATGTGAAGATCAGAGAGAAGACATCAATTAATTGTTAAGATTGGGCAATACTGATCTTTCGTATGGTAGCCTCACTGCCTCAGTAAAGGGGTTTTCAACTTAATTAGTAAGAGCTTGTAATCTAAGAGTTTTTGCTGTCACAATTGTTAGAAAGGACAAACTCAATGCACAATGCACAATACTTCATTTATTACAGAGTTTGAATAGGGTTAAATTAATGCAGTCTTACTTCAACACGCAAAAAAATTATTTTTTTATTTCGCTTTGGCTCTCTAATTTTTTATTTTATTTTTTTCTTTCCCAAATGTGTATTTCAAAAAATACTGTACTATTTTTCTCCTTCGACTGGAAGGTGTACATTTGACGTTCAAACTCTTAGACCTCTTTGACTATTTCCCCTCCCAAATTCATACTAGGTTTGTTAGGAATGTCTCAATTCAAGTTGTCAACATCCATTTGAAGGTACAGTACTGAGATACAATGAATGCAAAACCTAATTTGTGTGTTGTGAAAATTTTCAGACAGCCTTCTCTTTGAAATGGTGTGATGTGTGTGTGTGTGTGTGTATTGAGTTGAGTTAGAATTTAGAACCTAGTCCCTTCTTAACCCATATGAACCTCCTTGTTCTTATTGGACTTGATAATTCTTGGAACTGGTAAGGCAGGAGACAATCATTTCTGTAGCATATGTACACCACTATATGGATTCTTCACCAGAGACAAAGAATGTGTGGATGAGAAATGATTGGGAAAAGGAAGACATTTAAATAAACATATAAGGGGTTAATTTCTTTAATCTTCTCTCCAATAATTAACCTAGAACATAAGAATGAAGATATTTATATATATAATATAATTAATTTCTAATCAATAACCTAGAACATCATCCTAATCTACAACTAGTGCTATAGGAAATATGATAATTAGATAAGCCAAATCCTAGCTAATCAAAATTAGCAGCCACCCATTCAAGATCAGATACATGCATGACCCAAAACCGGAGTTACAGTTTCTTCTTCTTAATTGCAAATATTTCCGAAATTAAAAATATCCAAAGACAAATGTTGATCATTGTTGTAAAACATAAAACCAAAGAGATAAATAAAACAAGTAGAACATACCGATGGTTTAGTTACTAGGGCCTACATCTATGGCACAAAGAGCCCAAAGAATACATTACTTTATAAAATCTTTGTATACAATATTATAATCACCTATAAATAGAGTAAAATAATAGAAGTAATAAATATGAAAAATGCATTAATGGAAGATTTCTAAAATCAATACCATAATTCACTCCAATCAATATTCTATCATAGATTAAAATCTCTCCTATGATATTCTCATATCAAATATTTTATCAAGAAATAATTTAAGAATTCCTATAATAATATTTTTCAAATATAACATCTTCTAACACTCCCCCCCCAAGATGAATGGAAATAATGATCAGCTTGCATATCAAATCATGAAACACATCATTTTCCAATGATTTGAAAAAAGACAATAAAACTGCTAGAGACATAGTGAATGTAAAGAACAATGCTACCGAACGCACTGATAGCCCAAACAAGTCCACATAGCACCGAATACATGGCGAAGGTTACGAACATAGTGAATGCAAATAACAATACTACCGAATACACCGGTAGCCTAAACAAGTCCACATAGCACCGAACACATGGCAAAGATTACAAACACGGTGAATGCGAAGAACAATACTACCGAATATGCCGGTAGCCCAAACAACTCCGCATAACACCGAACACATGGCGAAGGTTACGAACAATGTTACCGAACACACCAACAGCTTAAACAAGTCAATAAAAACAGCCGAAGACACAGCAAAGACGAAGACAATGCTATTGAATATACCGGTGCCAGCCCAAATAACTCACAAATAAAACCGAGAAACCCTTAACAACATTTCAGATACTAAGGGAATCCCCCAAAATAGGGGTTCGAAGATAAATTAGGCTCTGATACCATGTTATAAAGCATGTAAAGTATAAAACGGAAGCGAAGAGATAAATAAAACAAGTAGAAAACATAGATGGTTTAGTCACTAAGGCCTACATCCACGCCCAAAGGGTTACATCACTTTATAATATATTCTCTCTTAATCTTTGTATACAATATTATGATCATCTCTTTTTATAGGTGAAAGAATAGAGGTGATAAATATGAAAAATACATTAATGAAAGATTCCTAAAATTAGTACCATAAATCACTCTAATCAATATTCTATTATAGGCTAAAATCTCTTTTATGATATTCTCATATCAAATATTCTGTCAAAGAGTAATTTAAGAATTCCTATAATAATATATTTTTCAAATATAACATCCTTTAACAATCATTACATGGACTCCTTATTTAAGACAAAGGAAATGCATGCTCAATGCTTGGTTTAGTATCATGTAGTGTGTGTGTGTGTTAACAGTATTGATTTTGGGGAAGTAAAATATGGTAGCATAATTTCTGTGCACATGAAAATGTAGATTTTGGAGGAATATCTTCTAACCATTTATTTCTGTCACCAAACTATGTGCCATAGAATTAAGTTTCAACAACCTTGATTTGAACACTATAGTGCATGTCAGCTTATTCATCTATTAATGCACTCACACAGGTACAAAAGTTTAAATTTTCATGCAGACTATATAAGAAATATGAATGGAAATTAATTCTAAAATTAATATTCATCATAAAGCAATTGAACGTGCTTAGATTAACCCAATTCGAAATCTTACTGGAAAATTAAAAACTAATTGTCAGCATCCAAAGCAGCAAATAATTAATTAGATCATACTTTCAGCATGAATTAGCACCATACACAAATTGCTTAAGTCTCTCAGATATCTTTGGTGCTCCATATCCTGATGCAGACTCAGCAACCTAAAAAGAAAAGAAAAAAAGCCAAATTGTTTAAACAAATTAGATGTCTTATACTACTATTATCACATGTTTAAAATCAAAATCTATTTCAATTTGGTTATTGGTACTTAATTATTATCACAATTAATTAACCTATATACCCAAAAAAAATGACTATATATTAAGATTGGCTATATATATATATACCTTTGAATGTATAGAGTGGAAAACAGCATCATCAACAACAGAAAAACCAGCATTGACAACCTCGGCGCGTTCTTCATGGAGCACTCGGATAATTTCATTGAACATGAACTGACAATCCAGCCCAGTGATCAAAACCACCTCTAGAGCTGAACCCATCTCATGAATCTCAATCTGTGGTGATCTAAGCCCCACCATCACTCCAGTAGAAGTACTCGCGCTCATCTTTTCGAGTCTCATCAGTCTGTTTTTCTTCTCCTTCATCTTCTCCAAGTTCATCTGCAGCTTCTTTATGTAGTTTGCAGCCTCATCTAGCTGATCTGGCAGTGACACCACTTCCTGCAAGCCCATGCATCAAAAGGACCATATCATTTGTATATACATACATATATATATATATAGAGAGAGAGAGAGAGAGAGAGAGGAAGAGGAAGAGGAAGGGAGAACCCTAGAGCTTTGATGGGGTACAAGAGAATTGAGCTTGGAATAGAGGGTCTTCATGTGATTTCTTCTATTTTTCTCTATGGTCTTCCTATCGGTTCTTGAAGAACTAGGGTTGTTGATCTCCATTAAAATAATGTTTCTGTAACAAGTTGATAACAAAAGAAGATCTCATTCCTTGTATATAATACAGCTTGGAGATTTATGGGTTGGAGGCTTTTATCAGAGAGAAGAAAGGCAAAGGTGAAACAAAAGCACCATGTAACATGATTGATGTATGCTGATGGATAAAAAAGCTTCCTTCTGATTTGCGGAGTAGTGGCGATGGCTAATTTTTGTGGGCTCCACATGGACCATCTTTGACCATTTGATTTTTTGGAATGAATATGTATTGGAAGAAAAGAAAAAAAAAATGGAACTGTACATATAGCGGCTTCAACAACCAGAGTGACATTGATTGAAAGAATTTTTTTTTTTGATTAAAAACGTTGGCGCGCATAATTATCATATTCACCACTATCAAATCAAAAATGATTTATCTCGAAATACAGGAATAAATTTCGAGATAAAGAAATTAATGCATGTTAATAGGTTTAATTATTTAAAAGAGTTTTCAAGACTTGAACACCAATTTAAAGTAAATTCATGTAAAATTAAAGTTTTTGTTTTGTATTTGTGTAAAAATATTATTAACTTTAGAAAAGTTGCCAACTAAACGAATTTTTAAGTTGTTATATGTTCTTGGAAGGAGTAGGCTCCTAATTTTTTCAAATTTTCAGCCTTTTCTTTTTCTTTGCAATGATTTTCTAGGATAAGGTTATTAACAAAATAGGAAAAACAATCTGGACAAGATAAATGCTGTAATCAAAAATTGAAATTTGAGTTTTGATCCTGTTTTGACTAGCAATTTAAATATCTGATTTATATTTGCTTAATCTAAAATAAGAATGCCTACACGTTGTTGGAATTTGGTATTAATATTAAAAGAATTAAAAATTTGTCTTTCCGTGAAAAGAAATAATTTGTGTAAAAAATATGTACCATCTTAGTACGATTTGTACTAATAAGATCAAACATAATTTGGAGGCTGCAAAGTTGAATTATATTTTATATATGGCAATTGAGAATGGTACAACTAATTATAATATAAAAATTTCCCATTTTAAATTTGCATCTTTTGCTTTACTTTTATCAGAAAAAGACATCTGTGCCTTATCTTGGCATTACAGTGAAATGTTGAAATCTCCGAAACAGTTCATGTTCGAGAATAGTCTCGAGCACATGTTTTACTTTTACCTCATGCCATTGTTATTGCCTTTTATAATATCTTCCATCAGGTTAAAATTTTTACCATTTCAAAGTTTGGTAACCCAACAGCCCATTAATGGTCACTAGATATAGTAACCTAAATTGCATTTACATACTAAGAATGGTTGGATTGATGTCACTCACACACTTGTAGTATAATGTAGTATTTCTTAATACGATTAGTTTGAAAAATCAAATACTTTTAGTTTGAAAAATGGTCAAGAATAGTGTACAACAAAAACAGTGAACACTCCCCTGCATAGTATGGAGAACATTTTTATAGGACCGGATTTACGTACAAGAATTGTTTGTTATTGATATGAAGTACTTTTTTTTAAGATTAGTTTGAAGAATTGTGAAGAGTACTATAAAACAAAAACAGTGAACATTTCACCACATAGTATTATACTATACCATAAGAGACGATTGTAATCATTTAAATATATGAACACTTCACTTAATCGCTCCACAGTGATCACAACCATTTGGGGCATTATAATACTGTATTGTACATTGTTATTACACCGAATCCACTCATAAAAATAATTAGTTATCAGTATGTTTCTTTCTAAGATTACTATAAAACAAAAACAGAGAACACTCCACCGCATTGTATTGTATTGTATCATAGGAGATGATTATGATCATTCAAACGTGTGAACACTTCACTGAACGCTTCACGGTGATCATAATTCATAACCGCTTGGCGCACACAACACCGTGCTATTATCTGACCGGATTCACTCACAAGAATAGTTAGTCATTAGTATATTTTTTTAAAGTTAGTTTGAAGAATCATCAAGAGTACTAAAAAAAAAAGTGAACACTCCACCGCATAGTGTTGTACTCTATCATAACAGACGATTGTGATCACTCAAATGTGTGACCGCTTCACTGAAAGCTCCATAATGATCATAGCCATTTGGGGCATTACAACACTGTGTTGTTACTGCACCGAATCCACTCACAAAAATGATTAGTTATTAGTATGTTTCTTTTTAAGATTAGTTTGAATGATCGTCAAGAGTGGTACTATAAAATAATGACAGTGAAAACTCTAATATTGTATTGTATCATAAGAGACGACAGTGATCACTCGTACATACGTATTAACACGTCCAGAATCCACTCACAATAATGATTATTTGTTACTACATTTGGTTTCAAGATTCGTTGGAAGAATCGTGAAGAATACTACTATCAAACAAAAACAGTATAAGGGTACCTCCCAGTCTAAAGTAGCTTTGAGGGGATTATTGCCCTGGCCGGATATATGGGTGGGTACTTTCTGGTTAGAAAGAGAGATTTGAAAAGAACTGGTCCCTCTCCAATACAGGGAATAAGGGGACCATGGCCATTTAGCTTTGGACAGTATTGGTGTCTATATCATGATCGAAGAAGATGACTAAACACTAAGGCTTGTTTTCCACTTTTCACACAATGCCACTTGTTCCTTTCTTGTGTGAATGCAGGGAGGTAATGGGAAAGCTTTTAAAAACATATGCTTAATATTTGTTTGTCGGCCCCCTTCAAGTCCTCTTTGGATTCAGACCTCTTGTGGGGTGGGGTGCAAAGGCGGACAGAGGGGTGGGCAAAGAGCCCACCCCAAATTTCTTTTTTTACTATACTAATATTAGCCCAGCCAATATATATAGTATTAGTCCACCTCAGCCTTCCACCCAAACATGAAACGTGTTAAAACAGCGATACGTAGCACGATTGCAGATGAATTTCTTGCTGACTGCATGACCATCAACCTTGAACGGGAGCTTGTTTGGAAAATTGACTTGGAATCTACTATTGACGAATTCGAGTCTTTAAAGAATTATCGTGCACAACTTAGATACATATTTTGTACTATTTGAATTTAAATATTTATCTATATTATGTTATAAATTTTTATATTTATTTTTTGCGTAAGAAATTTTGTTATGAAATTTATACTTAATATTAGCCCACCCCAACGAGAAATCATGAATCCGCCCTTGATGGAGTGTCTTTCATTTCTTGTGTACATAAGTGGGCAATAAATGGTTATTGTCATCATCGTCTTTTTCTAGAGAGAGGGTTAAAAATCTAGTCAGATTTTTGGTAGTAGAAGAAATAAAATCAGGATAGGCCAAAGTTGCAACCAGGAAACAACTTTGGCTCACTATCAAGATTTGGCTTTTTTCCATTTACAAATATATATATTGCAAGGAATTGTGTTATGTAATGGACCAAAAAGATGGGCTGATTAGGAATTTCTGAATTTAATTGGTTGGTTAAATGACATGAGGAGTAAATGTCTTGTCCAATTGACATTTAAAATGTCTGATAGTGGTTTAATTAATTTTAAGTTGAAAGTTGAAAGTTGAAACCTATCTCTCACTCTCACCGCCAAAAAACATGAATCCAATGTCGACCATCTCTTCGGACCACCGACCAACACCAATGGACTCACATGATAACTCATGCACCAAGGCTGCAGCTCTGTTTACACATGCGACATGCTACAACTTATGCAAAAGTGTTGAAAGAATTTTATTTTTTTTATTTTCCACAAAAACTAGGATAAAATATAAGAAAACTTGGTTTGTCTCGGGATGGAGTCAGAATTTAATTTCAGACACACATTGTATTTGATCAAAAAATAAATAAATAAATAAATTAACTAAAGGAACTTACAATGGTGTAGTGGTATATTTAATAAAATGATGGGTGTGTTGGTTAAATATCGGGTACATTGAGTTGTTAATATACAATATTGACTCACAATCAATATTGGGCAGGTTTGATTATGGCCACAGAAACCGGTCCAGGTAATGCTATACAATTTGTTTCGTTTTCGAAAATCATAGAAAATTTGTAAAAATTATTCCTACTTAACTGCAAATGCAGTTTGTTGGAATATTAAATATATAGGAATATTAATCACTATTTTTAAATATATATGGTCAAAATAACCTATTCAAAAAAAATTAAAATTTAATTAAAGAAAGGAAATGGAAATTTATTTAAAGATAATATAAAAATTAAAAATAAAAAAAATAATATAAAAATTAAAAATAAAAAACTGAAGAGGAATAAGAAGAGTAAAACAGAAAAGAAAGAAAGAATTAGAGATATTTAAATAATAATAATAATTATTATTATTATAGGGGGTGCACCAGGTAATACTTTACAAATTATATACCTATATATATATATATATATATATATATATATATATAATATTTAATGGGCCAGCCTGGGCCCAGGGGCAGTTTAGAAAGAAGAAAAAAAATCAGGGGGCCACAAACTAATACTTTACAAATAATAAACCTATATGTATATAAAAAATAATAATAATAATAATAATAAAAATATTAATAGACCAGACTGTGCCTCTGGCCTCAAGCTGGCTCTGTCGTTGGACTTGGATATCATTGGTTCGGAACAAAGAGCAATCTTCTCGAATTTAATAAGTGTGCAACAGTTAAAAGCAATAGAATCAAACCGAATTGAATCATAAATAATCAATTTTAGTTACCTAGATTTGAACTTTCTTATATATATTGTGATATGTGCAGTGCAGAAGTGGTGTGAAAAAGATTTAGAGTGGGTGAATAAGTATAGTTGTTTAATTTTGCTTTTCAATTATAGTGAATTAAGCACCAAATCAAGCATATATATTTGGGTGAGGATATATATCTATATATTTGGGTGTGAAAGAAATAGAAAATCCCTATCTTTGATCTTCTGCTCTTAACACTTCATCTGAGTAAAGAATTTTTTTTTTTTTTTTTTTTTTAAGTAGACATAGCACAGCTTCTTTATTATGTATATATCTTTAGGTACAGAAAGGAAAGGTCCTACAATGACAGCCATTAAGGGTGCAGTTTAATGTTGGGTCCAATGCACACATACCCGGAGGGGAAGTAATACATAATGCGATGGAGAATTGGGTCCTACAATACGCCCTCTGCAATAATTTAGAGTAG